TAGGAAACATAAAACAAGAACTTAATGTTACACACAAAAATTATTGCAATGAATTTAGAGTGCATTTTTTGGCTTTAGCCAAAAATTCTTTGGAATATTTCCTGTCATAACAATTCTTCAATTGTAAGGAAACTTCCTTACAATGTAATCACAGGCTGAGGAAAAGTACTTTCTAACACATTGAAAAAATTCTTTTTTCTCATGATCTTTCAAAGAATTTACAAGTTCCATGGTTTGATTTCCAATTGTAAGATCATTGTCATCCTTTTGATTTGCCAAACTATTATAGGCAACACGAATCAACACAATGTTTTTCACAACGGACGGTTTTTACAAACTTAGCATAAAGTTCTTTCAAAAGATCAGTAAGAATTTGGATAAGCAGGGGAGATTTTGGAGAAGCTGATTGTAGAAGGGTATTTACACTTTCAAAAATCTTTATGGTACTTAACACAAAACTACAATATGCTTTGTTCAAATCTGAAGAAAGAAGATAGAAAATCCTTTCCTCCCGGCTAATAGAAGACTGTTTCTTCTTCGCTTCAACTTTTTTAACAAAGTTGACCTTTGAGGAGTCTTCTAAGCATTTTCTTTTTAAAGGGTTTAATTCTGTGTGTTAGCTTTTCCCTTTTAAAGCATTTTAATTAGAAGCAAAGTTGGTTTTCGAAATCTTATATGTCGGCAAATTTGATGGGATTTGTGGTTTCTTTTTGGTCTCTTCATGGAAATATTTTAGCAATGCATCCCACTGTTCAATAAACCTTCCTAGCGCTCTGCCTAAGGATAACGATCTCGTGCATACATGTTCCGAATTTTTCTCGTTTCACCAGAGCACAGTTCTTGGAGATTCTTTAGGTTTTCTTTCCTTTTTACACTTTTTTTCAGATAGAAAAACACATCAATCAGAAGCTGGTCAATATTTAATGGTAAAGCAGCTGCAGCTTTTTTTGCTGCCAAATTAATTAAGTGGCATGGGCATCCAATAACAATTAATTCCTTTTGTTCTTTTTTGAGGAAAGAGGCTACACCCTTTTTGTCACCCACCATGACATGAGCATTATCTGCACCAAATGAAATGCAGTTTGATATTGGAATGTTAAGTTGTTTCAACTCATTAATTACCAAGGAGGAAATATTTTTCCCTGTAGCGTCTCCATTTAATAATGGAAGACACAAATGATGAATTTTCATTTCATTAGAAACATCACAGAAATATGTGACAACGATGGGGTAAAGCTTCCAATCGCTGTCGTTGCTGCCATGGATTGACACCGAAAATGCTGAATTCTGGAGTGAAGCTATCTATCGTTTTACTTTGTGCATTGCAAGCAATTTCGTTCACAATAGAAGATGTTTTCGTGCGAGCACAAGCATATTTCTGAGCAATCTTGGAGTCAGGAAACATCCGTCTGAAAAGTTGACCGGCGTGATCGGCAGCACTTAGCGGCACGTTGTGTTCGCTGAGGAATGCAGTAAACCAAAACTCTGCCAAAATGACATCGGCATCTGAATTCGTAGCCGAATTAGAGAAAAAAACCATCCACTTTCTTTGACATTGTCGAAGCCGAAGCATTAACTTCATGCTTTTTAGACTTAACATGCTTCACAATGTCCCTTTTTCCACCGTGACTTATTATGAAGTCACGGTGGAAGAAGTTGCAAAATGCAAAGTTATTTCCTTTGAAGGATTCTTTAATTGTTGGAAATTCGGCTTTGTAGGCAGGCCAAAAATATTGAGAATACGTTTTTTTTTTTAACTCATTTCGTAACAACGACGTATTAAGAAAATTCGTAGCACATGCAAACAAACAAACAAAACAAAACAACAACAACGACAAAAAAAAAAAAAAAAAAAAAAAAAAAAAAAAAAAAAAAAGGCGACAATCCACGCTCGCTGAGTAATTCCCTTGCTGCTGAAGCGAACGCGAAAAAAATAATCTGGCACCCACACAGAAAAGAGTGGGAGAAACAAGTTAAGCGCATTGGATTGGCTGGTTAAGCGGCGAGTAGGGAGAAACCATAGGTTACTGGATTCGAAGTAGTCGGTATTTGGCGGTAAAACACGATGCAATTGTAGCTGAATTGGCGAAAAATTCTAAAATTTCCACAAAAATCACTAAAAAACACTTGAAAAAGGAAAAAAAAATCATAAAAAATGGATTACGATCGTAAAATCGTAAAGACAGATGCATTTTCGTATAAATTACAAAAAATTTGTAAAAGTTGGCAGGTATGCTAATGTATTAATTTGCTCCTTGACCACAGATGGTTGCTTACTTAAACTTTTCAACACCAAAAGCTGCCTAGAGGTTCATAACCCAAAAGCTAAAGGAATCATTAAATATACATATATATTAATTACGAGTATTACACAATATTAAACAGATGACAGAATGTGTCACAATCGCCTTTTATTGCTGTTTCTAAAATTTTTATAGTTCTTATCTATTGAGCTCATCTTTATGGTCCTCTAGTAATTCCTCAGTAGATAAAAAAAATGTCCTAAGTGTCAAAGTGCTCAAAGTCTCTGCTGGCAACCCAATCTGGACACAATTTTCTCTAGGCAAGATTCATGGCTCTAGCAGTCTCTTTGTTAAGTTGCAGTTAAACCATGGAAAATATTAAAATAATATTTCCAGAAGTCCTTGAGCGTTAATTATATGACATAGGTTTACTTTTAAAATATCAAAAAAAAAAAAAAAAAAAAAAAAAAAAAACTCGCATTTCAAGTTTTTTATCTGCCTTAAACCATTTACAAAAGACACTTGCAATAAACTGTTAATGAGTAAAACATAATCAAGCAATACTACTACTCCTTGCATTTTTAATGGATTTAAAAAAAATAACTCTCACAATTAAAAATTTTTTATAAGCATAGTAATTACGAAAAAATTTCTACGTCTTTGAAAAAAAAAAGGGGGGAATCACCTCGTTTCCCCCATTTATTCTTAGTTTTTTCCCCTTTTGAAAAATTTGTAAGCTGAAATAAGGTAAAATGATCGTTTCTGGATCACAGATTAATGTTTATTAAATTTTGCTACAGTACTTTGTGTAGTAGTTCATAACATAAAGCCAGCTGAAATCATTAAATCGAGGACAAGAAAGAGAAACATACTATTACACAGATAAAACACACAAAAAATTAATTTAATTTTGCAATGACTGCACAAAAGAGGGTGAATGTCATAAGTGGAAAGTGATAATGAAGAGAAACAGATGCTATTTATTGTCTGCACATAGTCCCTTCGCATTAAAACAAGACGTAACTATCTTCCTGGAGCATGTCTCTTTGCATCACTCCTCTCTGCTTGAGACTTACTGAGTTTCCATTTCCATCCATTCCAAAGATTTGTCCCATGCAATTTGATATTGTCTAAATTCTAAAATGTTTCTAAAGCGAGACCTGAGAGCCACTAAAAATGTTTATGCTGCAGCTCGCTACTGCTTTACATGGGTGATACTGTTATATGAACACTTTGCATCTAGCTCTATTTCACAAAAATTCTGGGGCTCAGAGTACTCGGATCACTTCTTAATCTTCCTCTAAAGACATTTCCTTACAATTTTCTTTTATTCCTACTTCAACAGTTTTTTGTAGAGTTCAATTTTAAAATCCTCTAGTAACTCCTTGATGTGTTCATTGCTAACTTCCAAGAACCCTCTCCTTAAAAAATAAGGTTTATGTGTCAAGTCTCTACTTGCAATACAATCTGGCCGTAACATTTTCCATTCATGATATATAGGTATAGTATTCATGGTATAATCTTGCTACCAGATTTTGTTAATGACAGTTAATGAAGAAAAAATTAAAATGATGTTTTAAGAAGTCCCTGTATAGTAATTTTATAGTATAAATTACTCCCAACTTGACAGTTCGTAATACCCCGAGACCCATTTGTCATCTGAGGTGTTTTTTTGCTCAGATATGTTCTTCATGATATGTTCTTCGCAAGGAATCATGTAAGAAATAATTTAATTTCTATAAAAGTAACAGACTAAAAAAATAGCTCATTTTACAAAAGACATCCTGCATTGTTTAAAAATGTATACATATATAAGAAGATAAAGAATTATACTATATTGGGAGAGCTCCGTGATACAATGTTCACTGTATTAAAAAAGGATAATAATTTTGGTGGGGGTAGCAATGCTATAAAAACTTTTATAAAAATTCCAACTGAAATTAAACTTTTTATTTTCCTGATCAACTATGTAAATTAAGTAGCCAGCAAATTAAGCACAAGCAGTAATAATTTTATGCTACAAACTATAATGAAACAGTTTTTGTTTTAAGAAATACAATGGATAAATTAAAAACACCATAAAAATCTAATTTATCTTACTCGTTACTATGAAGAAAATGAAAAATATTTTAGGAACTACATATTGAAATGAATAAAAAATACCGACAGTGCTTTATAAAAGTAACAGACTAGAAAAACAGCTCATTTTACAAAAGAAATCCATAACATCCTGCATTGTTTAAAAATATATACATATATAAGAAGATAAAGAATGATACTATATTGGGAGGGGGAAGCTTCATTAATATGATTGTTTATTATATCATATCTAAATTATACAACTTACTTTTAAGGTAATTCTACTTCTAAACAGAGAGGTTAGTTAAGGAATAGTTGTGCATCTAGACAGAAGTGTAAACAAAGCTTTCTAGTATATGATGAGTATAGCTACGATAAAATTGAATCAGAAGTAAAAACATATTCCCTGCAAGAAATACAATACCTTTTTCTTTTTTATTTATTACTACCTGAAATATGAAATTTTTATCATTTCAGAGGACTGATCTCTAACTTTTAAACTTCTATGAATTTTGGCAAAAGTTCTCTGATTTTTTTAAAAAGATTTTATAGTTTCCCTGACAATTTTTTTATTTTTCTGAGTTTCCACAACAATTAGAATTTTCCAGATGAAAGGAAACTTTGTTTTAATTTAATTAATCTGCTTTACTATAGGTCTGTTTACTACAGGTCACTCACATCATTCATATGAAGAACATTTAAGAAGTCTGGACGTGTCAAAAATCGGACAGCGGGTGAGCGCAGCAGCAATACCCTCTGATTTTCTGGGCTAGATGAGGAAGGCACTGTTGTTGAAGTAGAGGCAGGAGTAGTACTAGTTGCAGCATCCTCATGAGTGCGAGAAGTTATAGTTCTTCTGATGCTTTGATACCTAAACAAAGAAATTGCTATACTTTAAGTAACAACTTTCCTTATCCATAAGGAAAATAAAAATATTTTATGCAGCAATATATAACTAATTACAGTAGATTTCTGAACGTAAATCTATCTATGTATAAGCCAAGAAACAAAATTTTGCTGCCAAAATTGAAAACCCATGTCAAGCAAATTTAATACTGTCCTATAAATCTAGCTATATATATAGTGCCAAAAAATTCAAATAATTGATCAGTTTGCTTAGCTATTCATTATTATTGCTTAGTTATTAGGCGAGCTGAAGGTAAATGCAAATTCATCTTCAGCTTCTGCTAAAAAAAATTAGATGTAAGAGCACTGCAGAAAGTGCCTTTTGGTACCAATAGTTTCTCTTTCTCAATTCTCCTAACTTTTGGGCTTACACATAATTTCGTAGTTTGATAAAGCAAGACAAATTTACTTAGTTTTCAGTTGTTGTAACCATTCTAGAACAGTCACATGATTTTCATCCTCAGCTGCACTTTCACTTCAATGAGTAAAATATGATTCTTCATTTCTGCTACATAATGAAAGATGTGAGGGTAAAAAAGAATTGTATATCCTGCTAGTTTTAAGCAAAAAAATTATCGCTTTTGCTGAATTCTGCTATTAGCAGAACTGAAGATATTATATATGAGGTGGGTGACAGTAAGGTGTGGATGGGAAATGAGATGGTTGAAATAGAAGAGGATGATATTCACTTATGTTCCTTCAAGCAGATACATTACAAAATTGTTAAAAAATTCCAAATCGCATACCGATATTAAAAATTTTGATTAATATATATTAGGAATAATAAAAAAAATATTTTTTCAGTTACTCAACTTATAGTGTCACTTTTGTGATCAAATTATTTGTGAATCAAATTGAATTTCTATACAGCCTTCAGTAGTACAGAATTTTTTCAGCTTCTATACAAGGAAATATAATATATATTTATATAACACTCTAATAAAAATACAACCCAATTGCAATAAAGCATGGGTTATAGGTTAGGTCTAAGTTTTATTCAAATCGTTTCCTTTCTAATTTTTACATTAAATATAGACACCTTAAGAATTGCAATAAACCATGGATTATAGGTAAGGTCTAAGTTTTATTTACATTGTCCTCTTTCTAATTTTTATGTTAAATATGGATTGTTTGCTTACAAATAACTAATTACATACAGACACACCTTAAGAATTATTTCAAGATTCACTGAACACAAAGCTGACATATATTTCAAATGAGGTGAACAAGATGGCTTTTAAGAACTGGTGGAAAAACACGACCAAGAGTAGACAACTAATAAACTGATGGATTTGCGTCTAAGTCAACAGCAAGATGTTACAGAGGAGATCTTATATAAAGAAAACAAGGAAAAGTTAGAGAAATCTCTCTGATTTCAAATGAACTTATGGAGATGTATAAAATGCAGTAGAGAGTAAAAATTTTACAGAAAAGCAACATTTTCTGTAGCAATGGTGGTGGTTAATCTGTTTAATGCCTAAGCATTATCCTATTTCTGTGAAATACTCAAAAAACAACTGTCAATGGCAGAGCTGGACTAAGACCTTCAGAGGTCTTAAGCATACAAAAAAATATTCTGGTACCTCCACATATATATTATACCAGTCTTTTCCTTTGATTCCTTCTCTCTCTCTCTATTTCGGTTTAGCTGCACCGCACATGTCATGGTAAAACTGGCAACGGGAAATTTTTTGGGGCCCCCTTTCATTGATGCCTTAAGCATTTGCATGGTTAATCCACCCCTGGTCAATGGATAGGTTCCTAACGTGAAAACAATGAGCTAACAATAGCGATAATGCTAATTAACCATAATTTTATTCAAAAGTAAAACAGAGATTAATTTGTTTCACACTGCCTAATCATGGAAGTTCTATACTTTTTTTTTTTTTTTTGATGAACACAAATGAAGCATTACAAAAACAACTGAAAATTTCTTTGAAACACAACACCCAATTATAACATGAATTTTCCCACCTTTCCAGTATCATTTTTTACCAAGAGTAAATGAAATATACTTTCTTCCTTTGCAGTCATATTTTGAATTTATATGTTATTAAAAAATGTAGCAATTCTTCTATGTAGTAAATATACAAGGTTAGAAAAATGTAATGAAACTACTGTATACAGGCTTCTTTTTTTGGGGGGTGGGGCTGTTAATTTTCTTTTAAGTAAAACAGATTTATTAATTTTGCATATTTTTTATTTGGTTTTTGGAAATTGATACCGCCTAAAAATGCATCCTAAAAATATTTCTTCAAATTTTGGTGTTCAGAATATTTGGAAAGATTGCCAAATTAAGCATTTTATACCACATGAGGTTCTTGTGTATGTGAAGTATTTAATAAAAAATTCTCCACACTTTATATTAGCACTTTTAAAAAATAAATCTATTTAAGGTACTCTTAGCTTTCCCACATTTCTGTGATGCAAGTTGCAAAAATTAAAAATTGCAAATAATAAAATTATAAGAATATGTTTTTCATCAATTAAAACATTTTAAAAAAGGTTTGTTGCACTATTCTAATGGTATTTGTATTGGTCATTTAGTGACAGGTGTTCAGAAAATACACTACGTCCAACACATTTTATGAAATGAGGATTAAATTCGTGTTTTCCCTTTTAAAGCATGAAATAAGTCTGACTTGTGAAACTTTTGTGAAGTAATCAATAAAATATTGTTACAAATTTTGTATTTAGATATCTAATTTTAGCACAATTATAATTAAAATTGCTGTATTCCCTGTGCAGTGTAGTGCAAGACAAATTTTAAGAAAATGTTATGTCAGAAAAGTAGGAATACAGGGGCATGTGCATTAACATTGAGTAAATGGATATCTTGGTAATTTTTATTGAAATTAAATAAATTTAATTAACCACTATATTAGCTGTAACCCTAATTTCATCCTCTTATTGCTTTCCAGTAATTTCAAGAAGCTGAAATTACTAGAAATATCTGGCCACCGGTTGAAAACTATAAAGACGCCAAAGAGAGCATCTCAGCTCAGTTGCTTAGTTACTGTTGTTGTGAGTTGTTATTTCCACATGAATTGAGAAATTTGAGTTAACTTTCTCTTTAGATGTGCTTTGCATTGCATTATATTTAATGTTTTCAGCAGTTTTGAAGTAAAACTACTGATTATATTGCGTGATACTGTTAACATTTGTACGAATATCTCTGAGGAAAATTCCACAGTTCTGATATATTTCTTTTAATAAGAATGAATTTCATTAACCTATTATCGGACTTGTACCTTCAATCTCTCATGAACCCGTTTGCATGCAACAATATGATATGACTTACATAAAATGTCAAGGAAACATTTTTAAATCGAGCAAAAATTAAAAAAAAAATTATTGCAGATGGAATTCAGAATTTATACAAGTATAAAAGGCCGAAATGTCCAAACATGGAAAATTCCAGCAACATAATTAAACTTAAAAAAGTTTATGAGTGACCACTTAGCAGCAAATAGAAATGTCACTGGAAAATCTAACTAGATGCCTGAAACCTTAACAATACATAAAGCTTTACAAAAACAGTAACTATTTCATATGTATATTGAAGCATCCAGGACATTCTGTGGTTTTTTTATGATTAATCTAAATAAAGCAGTACAATAGAAAATTTCATCGAATCACATATGGACCATTTTGTTCTATGGCTTCCTTCCTCTCTCTGGCAGCTTGAAAATTCCTTTTTTAGAAAAAAAAAATCATAAAGAAGTTATCAAGGTGCTATTTGATAGTCTCTACAGAAGTGAGAATTTTGAAGCAACTCGTAGAGATGAAAATTTCAGGGGGCAAGGTCTAACGAATATAGGGGTTGACACAAAATATACCAGTGATACTCAATTAATGCTTGTTCTTATATTCACGAGAAAGTGAGGCCAATCATTGTCATGATGGAAGACACCTTGATGACGAGTCAGTTCAGAGTGCTTTGCTTCAATTTCTGTTTATAAAACTGCCATCTGAAGACAACAGTTTTCCAAATTAATAGTTGATTTGATGGCAACAATTCATCACACAAAACTGCTTTGTAGTCCCACCATATATAAAACATTATTTTTTTTGGGATGCAGCCCTCTCCCAGTGTTACTAAAGGAGATCAATTTGGTTCAATATCCCATGATCTTTTTCTTGTCACATTATTGTACAGCATCCACTTCTCATTTCCAGTAATGAATTGTTTCAAAAGAGAAGCTGCTTTACTTCTTCTCAGCAAAGAATCACATGCCATAACTCAAGCATATTCTGCTCAATTAAAATATGGGTCATGTACGTTTGTGGTCCAGGTATGGCCCTTTCCTCATTTTGTGCAGCCCTATGCTCACCTCATGAAAATAACAAAAATGTAAAATTACAAACATATTCCTAAAAATTGGAATTCTACCAAATATCGAGGCATATACACAACAGGTGCTAAGGGTTCTCAAAACTGTCTCTTTACAAAAATGCTTCCTCAACTGATGCTGAGAAATCTGTCCATTTACAGAAATTCAGCATGATATAAATCTAAAGCAAAAATCCAGTGAAGTGGATATCCCCAAATTTTACAAATATTTTCCTGCAAACTTCCCAGAAAGCAAGTTTGCATCATGCGTGATTTCCATGTTTAGTATATCAGTGTGAACAGCTTTTCTTGCTTATGAAAAGGAACAAGTTCCACATTGATATCCATGTAATTATACATTCAACTGATGTCTGTTCTAAATAATGCTAGTGAAAGCATCATGTTTCCAGAATCCTAAGCTGGTTGCAATACTACCAGATGTCCGGAAAGAAATAACAGGTATTTATCTACTATCTGGATTTCCTTATATTGACTCCCTCCCTTTTTTAAGAACTAGTGTAATATGAAATATTTTATGCATTTGCTCATTTTTCATTCATTTCATAATCAATTATAAAAGTGGCTTTTTGTTTCTAACTGCTTACAGTATTGTATACGAATGATTATTTGGTTCACTGAAGTACGACGTTTGACATGCATGATATGGGATATCCATATATGACAGCAGCTTACATATCCAGCTTCCTTGAAATGATCATGCATTGTACTTTTTTGAATATTTATTGTGCCTGATAATTCCTGAACTGCATAATGTGAATTTTAAGTGACAGCTTCCTTATTTACAGATGATAATCATCTAAAGCTAGCATTATTTTTGAGGCTGAAATTTCTATGATTTAACTTTTCAAACCATCTTCAAACTGCAACATGATAAACAACACTTTTAAGACACAATAACACGCCGAATAAATACTAATTCAGAAGTCAAACAACAAAAATCAGCGTAATATTTTCAAAATTTTTATTCTTTGCTAATATACAGCACAAATTTTACAAGCTGTCTGATTAGCAATAGTTTTCTTTTTTAAAATAAAAGAACATAATATCGTGCTTAGACCATGATCTTTTTCGATTAATGCTACTGTAGATGGATCCATTTTTCATCACCAATGATAATTTCTTTAAAAAAAGAGTCAACTGCATTCCGTTTGAAATGCTTATCGCAAATATTGATTTATTGTATTAAGGGAATTTCTTTTAATTCATATGGAACCCAAATACTGTTCTTAAATGAGTCCAAATGTTAAGTAAATTTCTTTTAATTCATGCAGATCTCAAATACTGAGCTTCCTAAGAAGTCCAAGATATGCAATGTTCAATTGTTGTGTGTGATACACTTAACCTTTTTGCAATATCTCGCACAGTTATATCCCGATTTAATTCAGTTATGGCTTTAATTATGCATCATCAAATTAAAAAAGTCAGCCAGAATGTTAGCATCCTCAATTGAAAAATCTCCTGAACAAAATTTTTTAAATCAATTCTGACACACACAATCAGCTAAGCAATCAACACCAAAACTTTACATATATCCTTGTGAGCCTCAGTCATTTCCTTGTCTTTATGAAAATAAAAAACTAAAACTTTACATATATCCTTGTGAGCCTCAGTCATTTCCTTGTCTTTATGAAAATAAAAAACTAAAACATGTCAAAAATGTTAAAATTGACCATAAACTAATAGCTTAAACAAAAATAAAAGGAATTGATTTCTATAGTAACCTAAAAGTGTACACTGCCAAATCTAAAAAAAAAAAAAAAAGAGAGAATTCACAGAAGAATAATGAAACAAACATAATGCTACTTATTTTAATGCTAATTACTTTTTTGTCAACCCAATACAATATCAGAATTTCATAAACACGGAACTATAGTAAATATGCTAAAATTACAATTAATGGCATATTAATCAAAATTACACGAAGTTCAGAATCTTAAAATTATTAACCTAATTATTACAAACATTGCAAAATAAAATCTTGGCTGTGAATTAACATTTCAAGGTAATTTTAACTTAAAAAAAATTTATACATGAATCAGGAGCACAGCCTTACCTGCGATCTAATTGTTGACGCTGTAATTCACTAGCTGTTCCAAGTGTTAACTGCTGTGATGCTGTAGGCCTTGTCCATGTGGTAGTGCGATTTAAATGATCAATATAAAATATACGGCCATGACTATCAATGCGTGCCTCCCAATCTACAAGAATGTGTATATAAATGAAAATTCCTCTTATCATCAATTATATATAATACTATCTTTTAATAGCATCCTTTATTTGAACAAAATATTTACTTCATACATAGATTATGTACCAAATTCGCTTTAAAATTAACAAAAATAAATAAATAAATAAATAAATAAACATGTTATATTCTTGGATAGACCATGAAAGTACAATAAATTGTCTTACAGAAAGGTGAACCAATAATTAATTTTAGATATGTAAGGTAATTTTACACTTGATTAAACAATGAAGTAATGATAATTTGGCTGACTTGAATGGTTTTATAATAGAGCAACTTCAGTAATGCTGCAATAAATAAAAATATTGCAAATTATAATTTATGGAAGTCAAAAAATTACTTGCTGTAATTTCTTTTAATAAATTTGTAAGAACTGATATTAAGAGATATGCCATCTCCCAGAGGTACCTGACTGAACTGGCAATGGATAAATTTCTAAAACTTTATACTGATACAGCATTACTGAAATAGATAGGAAATTACAAAAAATCCTTTGCATTGAACATTAATCTTATAAAGGCTAAATAAATGCTCTACTTCTTATTTACTATTTGAAATTTGCTCTATTTCTTATTGACTCTCTTCACAGAAACAATAAAAACGTTTTTAATGCAATTTTCTGCATTAAAATTACTTTATTTTTTAACTGCAAATCTATTTTGTGAAAACACTAAAGAACAAAATTCATCTTCTAATCCTGAGGATGCATATATTTACCAAAAATAAAATAAATTTTAAAACCTAGTTCTAGGACATTTCTTTTTGGATGCATTCTAAAATTACATCATAAGTAATTCTACTAATAAAACATTGACTCACAGTTTGAATGATAATTTAGTAGTAATTTAATCTGATGAAATACAGAAATCCTGTTATACACCAGTGATTAAAAAGTTAACATCATTTTTAAATAATTGCCCATTTGTGATTATATAATGTAGTTAGCATCCTTATGAAATGACATGTTATTTTTTACAGAAATTCTTATATAAATTTTTCAGCTGCAACTAAAATAGCAATATACTTTGGCATTATGATAAAGAGTTTATTTTTGAATTCTCTCTCTCAATAATCAGCATTATTTGATAGGAAACTTTATTTCAAATTAGGAAAAAAGGCAAAGATTGGATTTTGTGACATTCACTTCATATTATTTTTCTCTTAACTTTTGGCTATAATGAAATAATGGCTTATATTATAATGAAATAATAAGCCATTATTTCATATTCATTCATATTGAAAATTTTAAATCTTGTGATTTTTTAGGCCCATCAATTTTTAATAACAATAAATATTAAGCCTAGTTTTAGCTCATCTTCAGGCAGGGCCCACTAATAATGGATGATATATTCAGCATTTGTTATAAAGTATAGATGACATGCACTTGGCAAATGGAAAATTTGCATAAGCTTTTTTTTCAAATTTATATATTCGATTTTATATATTTCTGTGTTAATTTCAACTTATTGTAATAACAATAAAAATTCAGTTACTGACTTTTGAATCACTGTACTTTTAACACAAAAGTCTTAACCCTTTTGATATTATAAATTAATTAATACGATAATTTTTTTCTATCCCATTAACAGTAGGCAAAGCAACTTAACACTATTTTACTATTCATACTTTTTAATCCCTACTTCTAAACTGAGCAAACTCCCATTTAATGAACAAAAAGCCTTGACACCATAAGTATTCATTAATGGGATGTTATACTGTATCTAAATGAAATGTCATCAAGCAGATTTTAAAATTTTAAGACACAGGAAAAATCAGAATAATGAATTCAAACACACATCACATAAAATAAAAATCAAATTGCTTTTTAATTTATAAAAATCAAATTACTTTTAACTGTAAAGTCAAAACCGCAAGTCTGTTTCAAGTTCAGTGATTCTGTTCAAAATCGATTCACTTTCACACGTGGAGGTGCTAATGCTAGAATTTTCTTAAATAGAACTGTCAAAACACCTAAGCCTGCATTTCAAGGTCAGTGATTTTATTCAAGGTCAAATCACTTTTACACGGGAAGCTGCAAATGCTAGAATTTTGTTACCTGGAAATATCATGGGTAGGGTAGGGCCACAAGAGGTTTGTCGGAACTGGCTCACATCAGTTGGAGGAAAGTGGAAATATATATATATATATATATATACAGGGTTGTTATAATTAAAGTGACCCTATTCAGACCCCTGTAGAACTCGTTCCGCCTATATCGGAATTTGATGAAACTTGGTGTACACGTTATATGGACTATGGGGAAAAGGTTTCTGCACTATAAAATAGTTCAAATTTTGACCACTAGATGGAAATTAACAAAAAAAATTCCTTATGCGAATTAGTCAAACCTATAGAGAGACTTGCAGCCAGAGCCTGAAAATCATTCTGTGTGACTTCTGTCATCATTAATCATGCCCTTACAGAAAAAAGATCAAGCTTTAATTGTTTCATCAGAACGGCAGCAATAGCTTAGCTGCATGAATATTGTTAAGACACAATAACACGCCGAATAAATACTAATTCCGAAGTCAAACAACAAAAATCAGCGTTATATTTTCAAAATTTTCACAGGACTAGTTTCGATGGATGGTGGTTCGGTAAAACCATCGAAACTAGTCCTGTGAAAATTTTGAAAATATAACGCTGATTTTTGTTGTTTGACTTCGGAATGAATATTGTTGTTTAAAGGGATTATGAAAAGGGCCCATGCTGAAGAATGGTCTATTTTAAAAATTTTCATTTTTATATCCCCCTCGAAAATATTCAACCTTGTATTCCTACCTAACTAAAACGAAATCCTGCGTGGAGCACAGCATCACATGTAAAACTCAATCATCTTATAACATCCAATAAGGTTGGAACAGACAAATCATATTAAACGATACCCAAAGTACGTCATTTTAACACGTACTTACATATTTTCGCATTAACATTTTTGATAAACAATATTTGCCACAAAAGAGATTTAGTAACATTAAGGGATAAATATGACATCACAAAACATACTCATATGATTTTTGCTTCAGTTTTATGTAAACCTGGTTCTCAATAAGCTAGTTTAGTTATTTTTAATAATAAAGACATAAGTTAATGGCTATTTCTCTGTTTTCATTTGCATTCTGAAAAATTTAAGACCTGCAGAATAACAGGCAATGAAGTATTTTCAAAAGTTAAGGAGGTGGTGTGCATATTTAGCAAGATTCTGGGGTTTGGCAAAATAAAACACTGTATAACTGCACACCACTCAGATTCATATTTAAGCAAATTTATGTGACAATGTTCATAAATAACTAGTTTCCTGTTATTAAACATTATTAGGGATTTTTGACTGCCAGAATAAGTGCTGCAGGTTTTCATTATCAGATAATCTAGAATCTTGAGCTCATATAGTCTTTTTATATGCTATTCTAACTCATATTGTTGATTGCCTAACTAAATAAAGCACAATCTCATCCTTTAAACTTCTTCAGAATGACTTGCACAAGTTTGACAGAATCTCCACCACCTATTACAGTCTACAGGAAAATATGTAGGTACCTTTTAATATTCTGATTTATTTAATATTTTACCTTTGCAAAATTCCCCACTTCTTAAATGCAACAACAATGAAGCAGCCATTGTTCATGTAACATGTACTTATTGCCATCTTTTGCCTAATATATTACAAGCCACAAAAAATGGAAAATTTAGTTTTCAAGAAAGGATTTAAACATTTTTCCCGATAACATATACAATTGAAAGACAATGGTCACTTCTTAGCCCAAAATTATTCATTAAAACAATGCTTGAGACTAGCATTATAAAAGTGTGACTCCTACTTTTGCTTAATAATGAAAAATAGGGTTTTTTTTCAATAAGAGACAATTACATTCTGAGCACTATGCTACATCTTATAAGATTTTGATTATATCTGTTTGCTTTGTATACAATTAAATTAAAAATAGGAACAAAAGGTTTGAAAAAATGATTTGTTACATTTTTATTTAAATACTCTGTATTATTATTATTAATTCCAAGTATAAACAAGCTTTTGGAAACAAAATCACAGATTTTAATCACACAAAAGTTTGAGTTTAATTAATGAGATAACTGCACTAAATATGCTGATGCAGTTTTTTTTTAAACTGTGCTTAGTTTAATTTTAAATCACCTCATTACAAAATATTCAGCCTGTCTGTCTCCCATTTTAGTTTTGCATTCTTTTTTCTTTTCTTTCTTTCCCCCCCTTTTTTCTTTTCTTTCTTTCTTTTTCTTGGTGTGCGTGTGTGTGTGTATGCTGTTGCAGTTTATATTGCACTTACTGCATAATTTATATTGCACTTACTGCATAAAAAAATTATATATTAAAAATACTAATTTAAAAATATAATAAAAACTCATAAATGCTTTACAAAATCTGAAATCTCCTCCTAAAGGATACATCTGAACATTAAAGCTTCCTAATGGAAATATGAAAGACCTTTACACCACTATGTTGAAAACCAAAAGTAAAATTTGATCAAAATCGGTTTAAACGAAAAGGCTCGTCTCTTTTAATTTGACTTATGATTTTCCAAGACCTCTATAAAAATTTAGTATTCAGCTTTTTTTCCCCCTAAATTCACTTACTTTTTTAATTACAAATTTAAAGTTTGCTCAATTAGCAAAACAGGGTTATTCTAAAGCATCTTTCAAAAATGTAAATTGAGGGCCAAAATAAACAAATTTTGTAATACAATGTACATGCGGAAGTGTTGAGGTGGTAGAGAACTTTGATGAGATTAGCTGGCAAAAGCAATCAATTGGTGCAAACTGCTGCCATATACATGAATTTTGGGTGAATTGTTTTGCTATAGGAACATGAAATCTGCCAACAAGCATTTTGTCTATGGAACTGCAGAGAAGAAAGGAAAAGCGCTTAAAGAAAATACAGAGCGAGATTTCCAAGTAAAAAGCTGCCAAATGCCAAAACATTCAAATATATTAGCCAACAGTTGCGTGACCATGAATCCTTTCATGTTTTCAGGTGTGATGTGAGCAGAGGAATATATCACAGAATTCCTATAGAAGAAAAATCTGTAATCCATACATTTTAGGATGATCCTGCTATAAGCATGAGAGTTGTTGGATGTGTGAGCCAAACAATGGTTAGCAACACTTTAAATGATAAAGAAATGCAGGCATTGAATATTGGACAGGTACCACTAAAACACTATTTTTAAATCTGAACATGCAATAGTGGAAAAAAATTATTTAAAATAACAACCAATTTTAGTTCTATCATCTTAAAAAATAAGCAATTAACTAAAATTGGTAGATTGCATACTATATGACTACTAAAAGATTCTCAACCAGCGTTTGGGCTGGCACTGTAAACAATTATTTAGCATAAGTGAACATTCTATGTACTTGCTTGAATGTCAGTATATACACAGCATTTTTGAAAAGAAACCTTCTTTCGATATCCCTCCAGCTGTTTCACACAAATGTGGTACATCACAATAAAGTGCCAGTTGATTTCAGTAGAGTAACATCAGAAATTACCTTGATGGAAATTACCTTGGAGATCTAGTCTCCTTGGCCAATTTAATCACCAGATTTTACATACATAGATTTCTTCTTCTGGAAAGGAGCATAACCTTTCCAAAAGTACATGAGCACTTCTGGAAAAGTGAAAAGGAACTTGTAAGTCCTTAGTGTACTTACAAGTGCTTTTTCCACATACACACATTCCATTACAAAATTTTCATACTTCGACCCCCTTTACCTATCACTTTGTTAGATATTTTAGAAGTACTCTGTATACTGTGAGCAATACACTTCCAGCATTATAACACTAATTTGAACTTAGCTTTTCTTTTTCCAGCATGCCAATATACCTTGTAGCAAAGCAGTCTCTTGATTCCATATATTATTAAGAATAATTGAAAAACGCCTTGCTACTAACCAAAAATCCCAATCTTAACTTCAGTCAATATATTTGAGACAAGCACTACATTCTCACCAAACCATACTTCAAAAATTCCTAATTAACTTTTGTTATGTTGCAAAAGGAATGAAAACATAGCCTTGCACCATTTATCAGAACACAGCTCTAGGGAATAACAGCCATAACAATAATGAAATACACAAAATATACACATTTTGCTGTTGAAAGTTAACAGATACATAGTATATTATATAATCAGAAGTTTTAAATTTAAGGTTATAAGAAATTAATATATAAAATAATCCTAACAAGTTTTGGAAGAAAAAAATGTATACTTGCTATTTAACATGTACTCTTTGCTATTCTAAATTTGGTTTTAAAGAGCATTACATACCTTCTGCTACTCTTTGAATAAGTAATTTGCTTATAATGTCCAATCTTAATTATGTATGCCACACTCTTAAGTAGTTTAAAATGCACAGAAGAATCAGACTGATTAGTTAGGACATACCACTGCAATACTCACGAGGGGGCAATGGATCCTCGAGATCGACTCTCTGATATCGAATCGTTCTTTCGGGTATGGAAGGCAATCGTGTAGTAGGAAGATGCTGCAAAGTTGCTACATGAAGTTGATCTCTGCCAGCAGAGAAGCTTAGTGACCTTGATGCTAGATTCCTAATAGAATTAATAAAACATTTAGATTGTCTACTTACACAAATAAATTCAATATTAAATTCTGACAATTTAAAATTCACATAATAATTCAATACACTGTGATGTATTAAAAAAATCATTTCCCCTTCCTCAGAATACCTTATTGCCTGATATTGTCTTCAACTGCAATGATTCAAAGGATAAAACAGCAAAATCAAATAATATTAAATAATAGTAAAATACAACAGCAAAATTAAAGAGGCATGGTTAATTCAGTTTCCAAAATGTAGCAGACAGAGCAAATAGGGGAGGAAAAAAAAAAACACTCTGAAACTCTCAATTTCTTGCTGTCAGCAAGATCTTTATGCAATGAAGACAATACTTATCTTTGCATCTAAATAATTACGTCTATACATTTACATACTGATTATAAATAATATTCCAGAGCAACTGTCATTGCAAAATGGTAGTTCAAATCACCAAAATGGCATCCAAAATTCATTCATGCCGCATCAGCACAACTCCACACTTCTGACTTGTCTGGATAAATAAATCAAGAAACCGTTATTCACCTCTTCTACACGTGTGCTTTTGCAAGGCATCATCGAATTCTCACTTTTATGCATTTTGAATACAGACAGCACATTGCTACTGGTATGTACTTACAACAGAGTATAGTTAGTGCTTTTCATGTTATTAAGTGATTTAGAGAAATATTAGGCACTTGATTTGTGCTCATAATATTGTATGTTTCAACTGTGCATATTCAGAAAATCTGTTACAAAAAGCTACAAATAAGATATATTTATTTCTTTGTTTCTCTGCACTTTGTCACTTGTAACAAACTCAACTGAATTGTTGATCTACTGTCTCTTCTCCCAGTAGGATGCAGTATAAGGAACCACTTCCCTGAATGTCTTTATGTTTAGTTTTAGAAACTACACTTCTCTTTAACCCGCTGGAAAGTGCGTGGGGTGTATCATACCCCAATTCTACAAAAAGAGTAGAATATTCCTAACTTGTGAAACTCAAATTCCGTGCTGCATTCAATAGCTGAGTTTCTAGTACTGCTTGACTTTCAGAACCGCTTTCCAATGCCTGTGTGTTTCAGAAAAAGATTTATCGGTATTTCATAGCAACTGGGGTGCCCCACACTTTCTCAAATAAATATTCACTCAGAAAAACAGTTATGAGGATAGAGGCGTAACTGTTTTTCTGACGGAATATTTATTTGAGAAAATTATTTCTAGAGTGTAACAGTAAATATTTCTACTCGCAAACAATTTTAAAGTATTTTAAATAAAAATTTTAAAGATTTCTTATCACATTATGGCAAAAAGAATCACCTCCTATGAATTGGAAATGCAACGACTGTGAGATTTATTAGAAATGTTTGAACATGATGAAGATTGCATTTCAGAAATTGAAGATGAAAATAGGAATATTTTATACACTGTTTGGTTTTGAAAAAGATGAAACATTAATTTCTAATGTTCCTGAAAAGGGAAAAACTGTTCTAATGCTTTCAATCCTACATAACGACAACTCTATAGATGATACTACGGAGAAAAGAAAACACCAGAAATTATATGTTTTTATGATATGACTAAGTGAGGAGTGGATACTGTGAATGAAGTGGCAGCAAGTTATTCAATTGCAGGAATAACAAGGAGGTGGCCAATAGTAATTTACTTTTCTGCACTGAATGTTGCTTCAATAAATGCTTGAATTACATTACTTTCAACTGCTACTTTGCCAAGAAATGTATGTACTGCATGCAAAAGAAAAGCAGCAGTTTCGAGGAATAATTCCAACAAATGTATGAAATTTGAAGCAGCTAAGTATAAAAGATGTGACAAATGCCCTCAAGCCAAGGACAGAAGAGTGCAAATGCAATATTTAAAATATGAAAACTTTTTGTGCTAACAATGATGAGTGCACACTTTTAGAACAGTAACACTGTAGAACAATGACACTAAATTGTTAGAAGTGTTTTTGATGTTTTAATGATTTAGATATTGTTCCTGTTTTGTGTGAAATGTCAAAAATAAATTAATTCGTGCAAAATAGTGTCAATTTTAGATGAGTTTTGAAAGCAAATCGGATAGTCTACCAAAGCGGCGGACCAGAATCGGAGAACGCGGATCATGAAGGTAAGCAAACTTTCTTCATTTGCTTATCCAGAATTTTGAATGATCTGTTTTTACTGAAATGAAATTAATGACGCCCGAACAGGGACCGCCAAAGTATACTATATTGAAGTGAAAGATTTAGGAACGTTTGAAAAATATCTCCTTTTGATTTGAGAAGTTTATTTATGATTTGAGATTACTGATTTGTAATTTGAAATATTTAAACATGTCTTCTAAAATAGAAGAATTAAAGAAAAGGCGAACTGTGGTTATGAGCATGAGAGTATGACAACAAAGTTGATACATAATTGTAAAGAATACCTCCAAGAAATAGAACACAATTTAGCTGTTTCCCAAAATATAACATCCTAAAAGAATTAGATAAACAAATACAAGAATTAATTGAGGCTACTGATGAATCGGAATTTGAAACTTGTGAAGTTATTCGGAGAAAGTAATTTCCATGAAATTAAAACTAACATTTATGTTAAAGGAAACCTGAAATTCCTGTTTCGAATACAATTGGTAATATTGAGAATGATATTTCAAATACTTCTGTTTCTCATTCAAAAATTAAACTGCTGAAATTATCGATTAATAAATTTAATGGAGATCCTGTTAATTAGTTATTATTTTGGAACCAGTTTGACAATGTGATACAGATGACAAATTTAATTATTTGATTTCATTTTTATCAGGTGCTGTTTGTAATGCTGTCAGTGGTTTTGCATTATCAAGTGAAAATTATTTTGCCGCAATCAAGTTACTTAAAACAAGCTTTCTTCGAACAGATTTAATTATAAATGCACATATGGGAAAACCATTAAATTTAGAACTTGTACGTAATACAAATATTTACAATATATTTGCATTACGTAAGTTGTATGATGATATCGAAATACAGATAAGAAGTTTGAAATTACTTAATGTAACTTATGGCACATTATTGACACCAGTTTTATTAAAATTAATTCCGAATGAATTTAATCTCGACTTCCAAAGGAAAAGGAAATCTAAAGACAATTTCAATGTAAACGAATTATTAGAGTTCTTAAAAATGGAAATTGAATGTTGCGAATCTATGCCACAAATTCAAGATAAAATAAACAATCAGAATTTGAGCCACTTTCCTAAAGAAAAAAGAATAAAATTTCTATTACAAAAGCTGCTGTGTTAAAGGTTTCAATTAACAGCTGCCTATTTTGCGAGAATTCAGAAAAAAGAAACATACTTCTGATGCTTGCCCGAAGTCTAGCAGAAAGAAAAGGCCTCACTTCGAAATCTCGGAATATGTTATTTATGCCTTAAAAGGGGTAATCATTTGGCAAAAAATTGCTTTGCGAAGATAAAGTGTGGTTAATGTGGTTGGAAACACAACAGTTGAATCTGTGACAGAAATAGTTTAGATGAGAAAAAATCAAATAAGAAGGATCTCAATTTAATGAACAAAACATGTTTAGAGAAAGTTTTATTACAAACTTTAATAGTAAAAGTGCGTGGAAATGGTTCAGAAAAATACTGCTGGTGTTTAATTGATTCTGGGAGTCAGCAAAGCTATGTATCTAAATTTTTAGTTAATGCTATGCAGTATGAATGTATTAACGAAAGCAGTGTAATTCATAGTCTGTTCAGAGGAACCGAAGTGGTTGAAACTCATAAACAGTTCATTGTACGTTTAAGTAGTATCAAGAACGATTATCAGTGTAACATTAAAACTTTTGATCAAGCGAAAATTTGTTCTGATATTCCACAATTAAACATAAAACCTTATTTAAATGAGTTAAAAACACATAATATATTTTTGAATGATGTTGAAGGTATGCATAAAAAACTGTTGTTCGAGCATTCTCCTTCTGAAATTCATATCCTCATAGGTGCGGACATAGTGGGAAAATTGCTTACAGGGAAAATAAAAAAGTTAGAATGTGGGTTAGTTTGCATTGAAACTTATTTAGGTTGGAGTACCATGGGGAAAACGCCTATAGAAATGGAAAATAAAAATGGTTGTTCTTATACATTTTTTATGTTAGTAACAGATAGTAAAATTTCTGATTTAGGGAAACTTGATACTCTTGGGATATTAGATCCTTCAGAAAGTCAAACTAAAAGAGAATTAGAAAAACAAACAATGACACATTTTCTTTCTAATGTGAAAAGAGATGAAGAGGGAAGGTTTCAAGTTTGTTTACCTTGGATTGAAAATCATTCCCATCTTCCAAACTATCGGTAAATAGCAGAAAAAAGATTAAAGAGCACTGTGAAGAAATTAAAGGATGGGGGATTTTTAGAAGATTATGACACAATTTTTTAATCTTGGGAAGATGAGAAAATAATAGAGATTGTTCCTGAGGAAGAAGTTAATAACCCTTCTCATTATTTACCCCATCGCGTTGTTATTCGAATGAATTCCACCACGACAAAAATAAGACCGGTTTTCAGTGGATCTGTAAGAACTAAAGGATCACCTTCCATAAATAACTGTTTGGAAAAGGGTCCAAATTTAATTGACACGGTTCCAGCTATAATAGATTTTGATTGGGAAACATTGGCGTGATCGCTGATATTATGAAGGCTTTTCTGCTTTCTTAATCCTAAAGACAGCGATTATTAAGATTTTTATGTGGAGCAGGGAAATTCTGAGATTTTGAAAATATACAGGCATAGAAGAGTGGTCTTTGGAATAACCAGCAGTCCATTTCTCTTAAATGCAACACTAACGAAATTAATGAATGAAGTACCAGAAAATTATCACGCGAGTGCTACTAAATTAGTAGAATCTTGGTACATTGATAATTTAGTTACAAGTGTGAATGATGAATCAGAATTAAAGAACTTAAAAAATGATGTCACTTTGTCAAGTACTAAATTTGAATTAAAAGAGTGGGCATA